CATTGCCAACAAAAATCAAAGATTTGAAGAAAGATTTAGAAATACAATTTCGAAGGTAAATAACATTTTACATTTTTGTTTATGTGTATATAATAATAAATAAAATTGTGTATATGTTTGTAGATTACAAGACACAGCATGGCAAAACGAAGCTCTTAGGCCACCTGTTTCGCAAACTTCCTTGTCCGAATCGAATATAGCTAAGAATAGATATCCCGAATTAGTATCAAGTTAGATTATTTTTTCCTACCCATAATACATTTCGATAAATCTGTAATTATATTCGTATTTATTTGTAGACAAAATAAACCGTGTGTTTTTAAAAAGATATCCACCTCATGACGAGGAAAGTGATTACATAGCTGCAGTTTACGTAGATGGTTTCAAAGAACAAAATCAATACTTATCGAGTCAATTACCAATGCCAACGACATTTCGTGATTTTTGGAGAATGATTGCAGAATTAAATATTGAGCTCATCGTCGTTTTACAACCMCCTGATCCTGAGGACCCAGTCAGTAATATCATTACTTTGAAATAACATTACAAATATGCAATAACAAACTTGATTTACTCTTTCAGACTTGTTGTCCTTTRGTACCAGCTAACAACGAATTTAAACCAACACCATATATTAATGTAATCACTAAAGAACTTTCAGAAACTGAATACTACGTATCTAATAAACTGATGCTTATTGACAACTCGGAGGTAATTRATACCAGTAGAAAATTTGAATATTAGAAAAAACAGACAAGAACTTTTTGCTTAGAAACCTACAAAGGAACAACCAGTTACAATATTAACTTGCAAACAATGGGAAGCTGGGAAAAATAAGGATCCACCATCTGCAATGGCTTTGGTAAYATTGTGGCAAGCAGCAGGTCGAATTGCTAGAATCAATAGTCCTACAGCAGTTTTATGCCAGTACGATTCGATCTTATTTTATCATTCTTTTCTTCTTCTTCTTTTAAATAAATATAAAAAAAGATCTAATRRGTTAATGTATTATTTTTTTAGCGACGGTGTAACAGGTTGCGGTATTTATTTGGCAATGAGTTTTCTTTTAGAAAGAATGGCCATAGAAAGGGAATGCGATATTTGTTTAGCAATTAGAACGGTCAAACAATTTAGACCGGACTTTGTTCGAACTATCGTAAGTATGATAAATATTTTCATAAAAAAAACTTACTTCTTACGTATATTTTCAAAATACTCATGAAAAATGTTTCTTTTACAGAAAGACATGGAATATTTGTACGACGCGGCATTAGCGTATATGGAATATTTTGAAACATATGCTAACTTTTCTTAAAAATCTAATATTACTACTAAACAGAAGATTACCCATTAAGATAATGACACGAACAAATAAATAAACATAGGGTCTTATATAAAAYGGCATTTTCTAGGATTACCTGTACTTTGTATGTTTTGGTTCATCTTAACAACATAAATAAACATAAAAACCACATATACACAATAATACGTATATTGGTCCACCTAGTCGTTGGAAAAGAAAAAGTAAAA